CTTTAACACGGGAAATACACTTAGTATAGGTGTATACATTTTAGCATAGTGCAGCTCATAGTATAGTGCTGTTCGTTTAACACGGGAAATACACTTAGTATAGGTGTATACATTTTAGCATAGTGCAGCTCATAGTATAGTGCTGTTCGTTTAACACGGGAAATGCACTTACTTGGATGCCTGTCGTCAAACGGATCAGGGTCCATCTTTAGATATGCTTCTGTTTCCTTCTCTACAATCTCAGCAAGTCTGAAAGGTTTTGTAAAGTTAGGTGACAGGCATTTTGCAAATTAAATCACGGTAAATAATAGCTGCATGGAATAAGAAGCCTATACCATTAGTTTTCCTTTCCTACTTACAATTGTAAATTTTACATTGAACACTGGAATTAATACACTTTCAATCCAGTGATTGAATTTCTGTAAATAAATACTAGAAATGCATATATACATAATATATATATATATGGAAGACAAAACTCACTAGGCCACAATTAAAAAAATCTTTGTTTGCCCTCACCCGACCCAGGCTGAAAAGTTTGGGTAGGTAGGTCGGCTTTTTTTTAGGACAGGGGTCTTTTTACAAATTCAGCATGGTATCTACATGCTCGGGTGTGCTTGTGTGGAGATACCTTTTATGTTGAATGTTTGTTTTGCTTGGTACATATAATGTATTGCCTACAGATTTATATAATGTACAGTGATACAATTTGTTTAAAAAAAAATCAATAACATTTTTTGAGTCGGCCCCTTTTTGGCGGGTCGGTCGGGTGAGGGCAAACAAACAATATTTTTATTATGGCCCGAACACCCATGTACATACAAAAATAAATGTAAAAAAATCAAATAGGGTGTTAAATATTAATATAGGGTGTCATATATATATACATGCACACAGGCATATTGTTTTACTTGCCTGTTTAGGGTCTGCACAGGCTGCTGCGCTGCCGCAGTAGATTGATCTTTCTCCCATGCTTCTAGCACAGTCACCAGATCACTCGTCGCGTCCAGAGCAGGCATGGCTGGCGTGTTGTTGCGCCTACTGACACCTTGCTGTTGATTTCCTTCTGGGGAAAACAGGATTTTACTCTAATTAGTTATCATGTGTCAAAATTTTCCGAAATTTTTTTAAATCTGGGAAAAAATAATGTAATAATTTCAACGTGGAAGGAAAGCTTCGACATAATCCTAAATGATTTTTTCCCATTCTACATAATTATTACACGGGATATTCATTAGACAGTTGGTTAATGGCAGGGTGCGAAATTAACGCGAGTCTGGAGTCAAATACTCCCCGATTTACTGTCGGACTCCCTGATTTAACATATGCAGGAGTCCGTGTGACTCCCTGAAAATTCTGCCATACTAACTAGTTTGTTCCAGATCATGGCCTTGCGGAATTACCGTATTTTTTCAGCTAATGTCCAAAGAAAATTTGGCAAAAGTTAATTTCTACCCCTGTAATGGTATATAATTCTTCATGTTGATAGGATTTCCCAGAAAACTAGCAATTAATGGGATATATATAATCAAGAGCGTATAAAAAAGGAGAGCGTACAACGATGAAATGCTGAAACCATGTTGCAGTATTAGTCGAATTAATAAACTTTCCTCGTTTCATTTTAATAATTCTTTGCAGTATTATTGATCAACTGTCCTACCTTGTTAATATAAAACAAACCGCATGTACCTACGATGCCCATACGCTGAGATAATGAGCGGTGAAAATCTGGTATTTTCGCCGAAAACCGACTCGAGATCACTGTTTACTGCGACTGTCTCTCGCTTTGAGATAACTTCGGGAAACCTCGCGTGTTTCCGTCAATGATTGCCAAATGGAATGAATGACGTTTGTTACTGATTGCCATAGTGATGACCCCCACCTGTGCCCACCTCACACTGGATGTATAGTAAACTCTGTAGTACTGACGTGAGTCAGCGCTACCATGGCGCTACACAGCGGCGACCGGAAGCAACACACTGGCCACAAAGCGAGAGACAGTCGCAGTAAACAGTGATCTCGAGTCGGTTTTCGGCGAAAATACCAAATTTTCACCACTCATTATCTCAGCGTAGGAGCATCGTAGGGACATGCGGTTTGTTTTATATTAACAAGGTAGGACAGCTGATCAATAATACTGCGAAGAATCGTCAAAATAAAACGGGGGAAGTTTATTAATTTGACTAATACTGCAACATGGTTTCAGCATTTCATCGTTGTACGCTCTCCTTCTTTATACACTCTTGATATAATGCACAATTTGCCACGACATACATGAGGTAATGTCCTGACACCTTGTTTTCACCTTAAGTTTCAGAAGTTTTGACGGATGTCATACTAGATATGCAGTCATGCCCATTATTGCCACCTATTCAACAATAAACAAGTTACAAATCTTGCGGTACTCAGATGAAACATCCGCTTAGGTTTGTGCCTTGTGCACACATCATTTTATGAAAGTATGTAGGGTGAAAGACCTAGTTTCATTTGGTAGGTTTGTAAATTAGACATTGCATACAAATCATACCAATGTTGACTCATGCACAACTACTCAGTCTACTGGTTATTTGCAGATGGCATCCTGTTGCAGTGTTGGGGGGTCATCAGATTTAACCCAGAGGGGTGCAAATCCACTTTAGGCACCTTAGGTATCATGAAGTGATGCACAGATTTCTGCTACACAATACGTGTGCTCCGTGCCCAGTCCACTGCCTAACTGCCTCGTGTATACACGTGTACGCTACATTTATCTATTGCCACGTGTGTCGCCATCTAGTGGCTGACTAGGCTATTTCAGATACGTATTACAACACTTAACAATACACAGAAATCTGTGCATCACTTCGTGATACCTAAGGTGCCTAAAGTGGATTTGCATCCGTGGCAAATGTTTCCTTAAGGGTTGGACGTGGATATTCGTCCGAGCATCGGATACTTATATACACAAAACACACACAACTCACAAGTACAAACAGTCACCCTATCCCTATCCCTAACCCTAACACTAACTCTAAACCGACTCGGCTATCTTATATACGTGTGTCATAGTAACCAAATTAATCTATGGTGTATAACCTTTCATAGTGATGCGCAACAATGCTCGGCCAAATAGCGCCACCGAACTAGTATC